CAAAGTCCTGCTCTAAGTAGATGAGTCTAAACTGTTTAAGCAAACTCAACTAGTGTTCTTTCCCTATAAATAAGTTTTTATCTAATACCACATGGCAAATATATTTATAGCCTCTATTCGGAGTGTTAAGTACAAGATGCAGAGGAGAGAATGATAACTCTGCCTGGCAGAGCGGAAGGAAAGAATCAGGAGAGGAAGTGAGGTTTAAGCTGGGTTTAGGACTTGAATGAGGGCAAGAGGAAGACAAGAGGTGTGAAACAGCCTGGCAGGACTGGGGAACGGGCAGGAGTGTGATCTTCGGAAGAGACTCATGGGAGTGGGGATATAGTGGATGAAAGGGCTGGAAAGGCAGGGACTAGTGACCATAAAAGGTCTTTATGTCAGGCTGAGGGATTTGTTTTTACCTTACAGTCAATCATAGTAAAAGCTGGCATTAACTGAGCACTTACTATATTCCAGACACTGCACGAGGTGCTTTCTGTGAACTGTTCATTTAAGCAAACAGCACCTAATGAAGTAGGTACTATCGCTACTATTATCTCTATTCTAAATGTGAAGAAACTGAGACTAAGAGAGGGTGCAACATTTACCCAAGGTGAGAATAGTGCTTTTTGGAAATAATGTTGGGGCAAATTAGGACTTTCCTGAAATATTGTTGAGGCAAGACTTGAAGGCAGCAGGAAGCACAGTTAGGAAGCTACTGAATTCCTTCCCGTGAGTGATGCTGAGGGCTGCGTCGGTGTGGTGGGGGCTGTGCGTGATGTGGGGAGCATGACCTCAGAGCTAAACGTCAGTGGTTGATTTCTGCTAACTGGGTAGGCAGGCCAGGTGCGGCAGAGGGGAGGGTCCAGGAAGCCTCCCAGCACTGTCAGTGGGACTGCTGGAGCCATGTGTCCTCAGAGGGACATCTGGTGAGGATGAGAAAGCCACTTTGGGGTGCCCCCCACAAAGTAAGTCTGTTGAGCCCACAGGACAGGCCTCACTCTTTCATTCAGTAGACCTTCCTGCTTACCTACTCTGAGCCAGGAACTGTGCTAAGACAGGTCCCCAGTGCCCAAGGCGCTCGCCTTTGGAGAGAAGACAAATAAGCAGCTGGCTGTTATAGAAACGTGAGGATAATGAAATAACAACTCGCATTCTTTAAGTGCTTATCACAGTCATTAAAAGAGTGATTTTCTTGTATTATCCCAATTCACACATCTCTTTTAGGTAAATATACGAATTATAGTAAGAACACATGCTTATTTGGTACACACTTGGTGTGAGGTATTTTGTTTTCATGCACCAACCCATTTAACCGTCAGTAACCTTCTGAGTTATTATCGTCCTAATTTTACAGATGAGGAAACTGAAACACTGAGAGACGAAATAACTTGCCAGGGTTAGACAGCTAATAAGCGACAAAGCTAAGACTTGAACCCAGGCAGTCTGGGTTCATTTTACATATTAGGAAATGGAGGCTCAGAGAAGTTCAAGTAATTTGCCCAAACAAATCAAGCACCTAATTAGAAGTGGAGGTAGGATTTGGACAAACGCCTGTTGAGCAATAAGCTCCCCATATTAACCCTACAAAAGTGCAATTCTAGAGACCCATGTGGTGGTGGCATGGAGGAGCCAGCAATGCACAAATGGGGAAGGCAGGGAGCATCAGAGATTTCTCCAAGGTGGAGAAGATTTCATCAGTTCTGGAACAAAGAGCAAGGACTCCCGAGATGAGTAAAAAAAATCTCTGGAGCACATGTGGAAAGATGATCTCTCAACAAGAGAAAGGACTCTTCTTCCTCCCAACGTAGGAGGGAAAGCAGTAAGGATAGGTCCAAATGTAGACAGACTTGTAAGAATTCATATTCAAATCTCATAGCTTCAATTTTCTCCTTGAAGTAGGAGGCAAAGTCATATGCTGAGAAGAATGGGGATGAGGCACCTTGAAGACAATGAAGATGTGGCTGGTTATTGGGTAGAACAGGAGACAGAGCTGGCCAGGGATGTACAAAAGGAAATAAGCCCACTGGCCACTCAGAATTGTCATGTTCATTTTAGACTTCAGAGATTACAGGTGGGTGTCAGCTACACGTTCCTTCCCTGCCTAACTTGCTCCTGGGTGATAGTTACAGAAAGCAAGTCTCAGACATCTATTAGCAAGGAAGTATAAGAACAGTCATTCAGCCTGTTTTTGTATGAAGCACCTTGTGTGGAAGATTCATTCAAGGAGGATGCGACAAGTTTCTGGAAGAAGGATCAGGAAAGCTTCAGATCAGATAACAGGATTCTCTATTGTGTAGCAGGACCCAGGACCACACAAGAATCCTAAGCTGAGAGTATTAGTCCAGTGAGGGGTTAGAGTTCCTGACTTGCCAAACTCGATTCCCTGGTTTATGCAAGGGTGGGAATGCTGTGTATGGAGCCAACCAGTTCACATATCTCGAAGACTACCAGGTTGAAAACTAAAGTTGAGATAAATACCATTAGGCAATGAAATCCACAGATCTCATTTTCAGCAGCAAAATTGGAGCTGGAGATAAAGTGGGAATCATCATCCTTAAAAACTAAAAACAGAGTTACCATATGATCCAGCAATCCCACTCCTGGGTATATATCTAAAAAAACTCTAATTCGAAAAGATACATGCACCCCAATGTTCATAGCAGCACCATTTACAACAGACAAGACATGGAAGCAACCTAAATGTCTATCAACAGTTGACTGGATAAAGAAATTGTGGTATATATATATATATATATAATGGAATATTACTCAGCCAAAAAAAGAATGAAATAATGCCACTTGCAGCAACTGGATGGACCTAGAGATTATCATACTAAGTGAAGTAAGTCAGACAAAGAAAGACAAATATCATATGGTATCACTTATACATGTAATCTAAAAAAAATGACACAAATGAACTTATTTACAAAACAGAAACAGTCTCACAGATATAGAAAGCAAACTTATGGTTACCAAAGGGGAAAGAGGGGGTTGGGATTAGAAGGTACAAACTACTTTATACAGAAAAGATAAACAAGGACAAGGTCCTACTGTACAGCACAGGGAACTATATTCAAAAGCTTATAATAACCTATAATGGAAAAGAATATATATATGCACACATATATATAAAACTGAATCACCATGTTGTACACCAGAAACTAACACAACATTGTAAATCAACTATACTTCAATAATAATAATAATAATAAACACTACCATATGATCCAGAAAAAAAAATGTGGGAATTATTAGTGTGTGAGTCCTGGGTTAAAACCACAGAAAGGAGGGAAATGATGCAACAGCAAGTGTATAAAGTGGAAGAAGAGCATAAAATTGTAACTTTTATGAGACTACTTAATCAAGCTTCAAATTCTTACAACATAATCTTTAGAATCCACGTGACAACACGTAAACACCCAAATCACGATTATGAAGTGAACCCAGCTTTTGTACCTACCTTGTATTTTGAAGTATCCCAGTTGTGGACTATGCGCGCCGGGATGAGAAAGCTGTCATCCACGTGGCAGCTGCTGCAGTAATACCACCCACTGTAGTTGCACACCTTGGCTTTCCCGTTGGAAAGACCGATGGATCGCTGGCATCCTGGGCAAGGCAAAAGAAAAAGTCTGTGATGGCTGTTCAAATACCACAGAACGAAGTTACACAATCCTCAAGTGAAAGGAAAGTCTACAACAGGGACGAAACTGCAGAGAATATGTGTATTGACATGTCCCCTTATTCCTAGCTTGACAGCTTCACCTGGGGGACTGCTGACCCTGTTGCTCTGTTCCTGGTCTCTGATTCCAGCTCTTCAGCACCTGGCTGCCAGAGATCAGTCTTCAGAGCCAAGCCCCTTTCATCTCCTTCCTCTCTTCCCTCCTCAGAAGCTCTACTTCCACCAGGCACTCGGCTGGGGGCTTCTCATACAGGATCTTATTTAACCCGCACATCATCTCACGACGAAGATATCATCAGCCCTGTTTTACAGAAGAATAAACTAAGGTTTAGCGAGGCTATGTATTTTGTCTTGAGGTCACCCAGACAGTAAGAGATGGAGTCTGGATTTGACTCTAAGCTTGTCTGACTCTAAAATGATCCTAAAACCTGATATGTAACCTTTCTTCGCTTACAAAATCAATGAAAGGAATGTGTCCTTTGTTTGATTGGCCCCATATCTCCTTCCCAACCACCTACTCCTACTGCTCTCCATGGGAATATTACCTCTGTGTTCCAGTCAGAGAACTCTCCTCACTGTGCCCCATATAAACACAGTGTGCTCACCCCCCCCCCCGGATCTTGGCATGAATGATTTCTCCTTACAAGATGCCCTCTGCTCTGACTTCTGCTTTACCAAATCCTGAAGAGCACTGTCAGGGGACCTGGGAATAATCATGGCCCTGCCAAAAAGAAGCCATTACTTTCTTTTAGATAGGAGGAACAACCTTCTACTGATGAGAAAAGAAATTCTGTCACAATCAGCCTAAAGGACAAGCATCTAGAAGAGGTAATCACGGTAATACAGGCAGCATCATTTTTCTGACATTTCTCACCTACCGCTTTCATTTTAGAAATCCTTCCTTGTGGCCCATTTCATGTTTGGATGCCAAGAACTATACTGACCAAGGAAATCTCACATGAAGCCTATTTCATGATACGAGTACAAAATAGACTACTCAATAATAATAGTGATAATAATATAGTGATCAGTGTTGCACCCCGTTTCCATTAGAAGAGCTCAAACATGTTTAATTAACAAATTGCCAACCTAAGAAGATAGTTATCACATGAACTTCATGAATAGAAGCACATAAAATTCATAGAACTTTCTCATCACATAAAAAATGGCATCAAACAACAAGTGTATGCTGTATAGCACAGGGAACTATGTTCAATGTCTTGTAGTAACTTAACTTATGGTGAAAAAGAATATGAAAATGAATATATGTAAGTTCCTATATGACTGAAGTATTGTGCTGTACACCAGAAATCAATACATTATAAACTGACTATATACTTCAACAAAAATTTTTAAATAACCAGCCGAACAAAATGGCATCAGTAATCAAGCCATTTCACGGCACACCCTTCAGAAAGAGAATTAGAGCCTATTGTTTTTAATTATGAGAGGTGTTGAAAGATGAGGAGTAAATGTATTGGTATTACGCTCCAAGAGCTGAATACTCTCCTGCCTAGAATACCGATTTCTTTACTGTTGAGTAGCAACAGAATGACAACAAGCTCCTGTTTTTCAGACGAGCTAAGGAATGGGATGTGTGTGAAAGGATAAGGAAGACCCAAGCACACCTGCTGCTTCGCTTGGACCTGGGAGATGCTGTCCCCTTCACCAGGCTGTGAACAGCAGGGTGCTATCTGCTCACTCGGCATGTAGTGCACGTCTCCTTAAACTGTGGTGCTTTTTCATGTCCTTGTGTGGCCAGAACCACAGTAAACTCTTTAGATCTATTTTTTTTTTCATCCTCAGCACTTAACATAGAGCTTTACACATCAATAAATGTTTACGTTAAAGGATGATAAACTGAATATTATTTGGCACACAACACCCTCTTGCATATAAAGAGATTTTAATTTCCCATGGCTATTCTGGAAATGATCCTTCTAACCTGGTCACCTGCCTCTTGAAAAAGCTTACTTTCATTCATATCCCATTCTAAGAATTAGACATTAAACATGTTCATATATGGACTGTGAAACAGAGGTGAATGGAACTTGGCACATTCTAGACACTATGACACTGCTGTTCCCCAAAATTAGTAGACAGTCAAATTAACACTGAAATGACAATGAATAGAATTCAGTCTTCCCAAATGATTTAGAAAGATGAGCATGATCTTGTAGAAATTCAGGATCATTACAGTTGAAACTCACCATAAAACACTGAGAAAATACATTTAAGATATTTTAGCTTTTGGGTTGTTTGCATTTTGGATATAATAAACATCAGTAAGCATCTGCTGAGTATTTGTAAATGCTTTAGTAGGTCCTACTAGGTTTATTAGTCTATAATTTTTAATGACTTTATTATAACCTCCTAGATACAACAGATATAGGCAATATTAAAATACACAAAATGTACATTTTAAGAAAGCATATAGCCTACAAATGCGTATATTAACCAGACACAAAGGTCCAAAGCCTAACATGCTGAAGGTTCAACCAAATAAGCTAAACATCCTCACCACTTTACACAGGTCTCCAGGCTTATGAAAGAGAGAAAGGCCGAGAGACATGGCTGGGATTCATGCCTATTTCAGTTGAGACAGAAACAGTAGCACACTAACTCCTACCTCTAGTCCTTGGGTTGTCTTTACCTTCTAACTTATTTAAAACCATGCTCTCCTGTTCCTTATGCTGAAATCACCCTCTGAAAACGAATAGAGGAAAACCTCATTTAAAATGGAGGCAGGAAGGCCTGAAGGGGGAGCTCTTGGGCACATTCATCACTTGTAGCAGCTTACTTTACATAGCCCAGCAGGAAGAAGGAAGATTTTCTCCTGGCCCAGCAACAGCCCAGCCAATGAGAAGCCACCACAACCCCACTCACTCACTCTCCTCCAATGAATTTTCCTTCAAAACTGCCCCTCCCGACTTCCCCCTTCCCTCTGTAATACAACTGCTGCTCTCCTTTGTTCTCCATACTTGCCTATGGTTCACTGCAGTTTGCATGCCCCAAATTGCAATTCTTCTATTATTCCCAAATAAACTCAATTTTGCTCACTAAACTATTTTCCTTTTTTTGTTTTAAAGGTTGACAAGCCTTAATGACTCAGAAGAAGGTTTCAACATATCCCCATGCTCAGGAGTGTTCTGGATACATGGTGTGTAGACAACAAACACAAGCCCGGAGTCAGGAAGCCTGCTCTTGCCTCTACACAGCCAGCTCGGCCCACCAAACTCTCCAGGCCTGCTTTCCCCACCGCAAAAGAAAGGAGTTAGCCTAAGCCGGTGGTTTGCCAAATTCAGTGAGCATCAGAATTTTCTGGAGATGTTTGTGAAAAATGTAGTCCCTCTTTGCACAGCTGGCCCCAGAGATTTTGATTCTGTAAATCTAGGGTAGGGCCCAGGGACCTGGGTTTCTTCCCACCCACCCACCCACCACTAGAGGCTATGGTGAGTGAAAGCAGAGGATTGCTCCCTGGTTCCCAGGTGATGGCAGAGGTCCCTCCACCCTCTAGAATTCGGACTCTACTCAAGTCAAGTGCAGAGGGTGGGCAGACAACTCAGTGAAAGGTTCATAATTTGTCACACAGTTTAATTTCTAGGCTTCCAAAATCAACTGTTCAGGTTCTTAGTCAATTTTCAAAAACTTACTATGTAGAAACAACCTGCGTTCATTTTACCACTGTTTTTCCAGAGCATTCACTGTCCCCACAGAGAAGCATCTTATTCAACTTAGAATTAAAACTTTTAATCTCCAAATCCAATGTATCTGTCATCTAAAGAAGAGAAGATGGTCAGGAAAGACTATTAGAAGCCTGTTAGTAGATTCATTTTCTAAAAACCAACACAAATCATTTATTTGAAGAAGGAAACGTTCTTTCAATTAACTGCAAGGTTTTCCCTTCTTTAATATCCTACTAGCAAATCTTGGACAAAAAATGTCTGAAACAATTCCTCATAAAGACACAGAATCTGGGATTTCACTTTATCATTGTGAGGTTTTCAACAGGAGAGGGGAAAACGTGTTTTCTTAATAATGATGGTTAGAAAAACACATTTTTTGGAGGATGCCAAAACTGGACTCTGACAACTGACATTATGAGGAGAAAAATAGAGCCACGAAGGAGAGACGAAAAATAATTAATTAAAATAACTAATTAGAACTTATTTACATATTATATTTTCATGTACTTTCAAACAGACTTTTCAACAACGTTTCTAAATTAAAAGGCATTTGTAGTAAGGAACACTCCACATGTTGGATCAAAGCAAATGCATTCTTCCCAGTCTCTTTTTGAAACTTTTCAGAGTGTGTTCAATTCATAGGAACAAAAAACTATCTCACAAGGGAACCCACTGGCCTTTTTTTTTTTATTGCTTCCCACCCTACTTCAAATCTTTAATGAACACAAGGTCTGAAGAGCTTAGCTTCCCTTCTGATACACTTTAGGAAACAAATGTCACCATTTAACCAAAATCCTATTTGCCGCATGTACAGTCCATTTCCCAAGTAGTCTCTCACTAAAGACACCCAAAAGAATCTGTTGCTGGGGGGTTGAAGCAGAAATGTTGGCAGAATTCTCCACAAAGGCAGTCTTTCTTCTAACAAGTGTGCCTAGTTGGCTCGACTGGCTGCAATGAGGTGTCACTGAAGCTTAAGGAGAAGCCAACCACCTTCTCTCTACGTCCTGGCTGCTGACTGCAGCTCTCCTCCCCTGGGCCAGCAGGTGGAAAATTCATGGGCACAAGAGAAAAATAACAAGGGTTGTGGCTGGATCCAGGTGATTCTCTCTCACTAAGGAAAGAACTCGCCCAATGCTTTCTAAGTGTGGCCAGTCACGCTACCTCCTTCGCCGTGGCTGGTGAGGTAAATCCAGTATTTTCTATTTAGAAAGTAGAAATGCTCTAGGAAAGGAACAGGGGCA